AGTTTTATTGCCAGAAGAGGCTAACGCGTTTATCTCGCACGTTAATGCATCAAATGTAAAGGAGAGCTTGAATTGATCACGTGTACTTTCGTAAATCATTGCTTCAGTGTTATTTGTCATATAACTCTCGTTTACAGTTCAAGCTCTTCCACGGAATCATTGCATTGTATGACTTGTCTTATGTACGCGTTTACTGTTTTTTTTTTATTGTAATCTCAATGCGTAACTTTATACATATATCGTCACGGAGATGATGTTTGAGATCGGTAATTCGAAAGAAAAGCAAGCGATTCGTCGTTCTTTGTTCCTTTTAAAACAATTCGTTACACGCAAACAAGTTGTCGTTATCGGCAACGGACAATCGAAAGTTCTAGAACAATTCAATTCGCGCACGCGAGCGCCGCGCTCCGACGAATACGTCACGCGCTGTCACCAATCCCACGCACGGATTTTCTGTCGCGCATGACTGTTACGTTGAACGTCGTTAGAAAAGAATCCAAAGCGCAAATCAATTTTGTATACCTAATGCCACGTAATAATTACGATTGTGGCAAAATTTTATTGGATTTTTCCCAAGAAGAAAGCTCAGGCCGAAAGCAATAAATGCTTCGATCTCGCCGTCCTCCTTCTTAGAGTCCAAAAGTTCTTAGAGTTCTTAGAGTCATAATCTCGCTACTATATCGCTTCGTAAAATCGCCGTGCTAACGCTTAGTGGAAACCGCTACAAAACGAATCTTTTCGAGAAATCGCCGAGATTTTCCATCACCTTGATTCCAAATTGTATTTGGAAAAAGTGACCGCATTTAATATTCTGTTAATCTAATATTTAATTAATTATATTTTTTGAATTTGTAACAGTGCATATTAAAGAAAATTCTTTTGTTAAATTACAAAGAAACGGAGTTCTCTTTACTGTCGTGTACCATATTAACCGTGTGCCGTTCTCTCACTCGAATCTTTCCGCGCGGTGCATTCTCGCACAATGACCGTAGCACAGACTTTCACATAACGCATAACACATGAAGCATAAGAAATTCAACCAATCAGAGTTCTTTATTTCATGGAAACGGAGGACTTTAATTGGTTTATTTTCTTCGACTTTTGCGTAACGCATAATGCACAAGGGAATTATCCAATCAAAATTTTTTTTTCCGTGAAATGGGAGGAAAGGAAAGATTTTGGTTGATTGATTAGCTTGTGCACTACGTGTTATGTGTTATGCAAAAGTCTGTGCCGCGGCTCTAAAGCAGGGACCACAAGCTTAATTTCCTCCGAAGGTTTAAACCGATCATAATGTAAAAACCAACCAATTACAGTCGAGTATTCCCTTGTTACAGTCGAATGACAGGGGAATGCTCGATTATAGTCGGTTCTTATATTCTGATCCTGTTTAAACTCTCGGTGGAAATTAGGCCACAGACTCTTACATAATGCATAATACATAAGACATAAGAAATCCAACCAATCAAAATTTTTTATTTCATGGAAAGGAAGGAAACGAAGGACTTTGATTGGTACATTTTTTTTATGCATTACGTGTTATGTGTTATGTAAGAGTTTATGCTCCCTACTTTAAGGGTATATCCACATAAATTTGCGTAGTGCATAAGTATATGTATAAAGAAAATTATCCAATTGTATTTATCTTATAAAGACGCACATAAAATGTGATTAGATAACTTTCTTTATGCATATGTTTTTATATGGCTATGCCAGTTTGTATGGATATCATTCTACATTAGTTCTACATTAGATTCTATATTAGTTGCAAGCTGATCGCAAGTTCGTTGAGACAGCCAATATGAAGTTTTGATTTCAAAATACAAGCTTCAGACCGGCTTAACAGGGGATTGATTCTGTATCTTGAACGAGGTGAAAATTACAAAAGTGAACGAATTTATTGGGTCATCTAAAAAATATCCGCGGTTTTTTGTCACTAGATGTGTGTTGATGGTCATATATCTAGTGACAAAGTACCGCGGATACTTTTTAGATGACCCAATATTAGAATACTGATAATTTAATTGGTCAACACCTAGTAAATTTGCTCACTTTTATAATTTTCACCTCGTTTCAAGATACAGAATTGATCCTCAGATTCTCGCATAACATATAAAGCATAAGAAATTCAACTAACAAAAGTTTTTTATTTTATGGAAAAGAAGGAAACGAACCAATCATAAGCGTTCCACACTAACTGCAGAGGAAAAACCATGGGAGCATTCAAAGTGCTCAGTGAGCGATCATAGTACTGAATGCACCCATTAAGTCTGTTTGCGTTACTTGCACTTTTTGCATTCGACATTTCCCCTTTCTTTCTTTTCAAAGCCAAATATTGGGTCATCTAAAAAGTATCCGCGGTACTTTGTCACTAGATATATGACCATCAACACACATTTAGTGACAAAAAACCGCGGATACTTTTTAGATGATCCAATATATCTACTTCATTCTAAGTTCAAAAATATTTGGAGATTTCATGTATTGAGAACAGACCTATTACTTTATAAATCTAGTGACTTTAAGTTGAACCTGCTGTACGTGACTATTGTGATGCATCTTGACCAATCAACGAAAGGCATTTAATTTTTCGAAAAACCGTTTAAAGATGCTGTAGATGTTCACGGTTTCTCGCCGTAGTGATGTTACTCTTGTCTGTTTTTAATTGTACTGACCTTTGCTAGCATTCTAGAAGTGGGTAAGTAGTTAGAAGAAGATAATATTAAGGAAGAGAAGAAAAAGATTTCTTCATTTTGTTACATCTTGTTGAAAAAGTAAGTGCACTCCAAGAAATTGTGTTTTTTTTTGTGACTGACATGAATCTTTAAAACTAATATGAAATATGTGATGTTTTAATGTAATGTTTTTTATTTTCGAATTTTTTTTTTATTAAATTGTCGCTTATGCATAAAATTATTAAAGTTTAAAATCTCAAAAAAATTAATGGTACATATATGTGTATATATATGCACATGACATATATGTGTATATGTATACATATGTACCTATTTGTATTTTCCAAATTGTAATATATTCTTTTTATGAATGTAAAGTAAATATATATAAAAAAGATATATTTGCTTTAATATCCAAATTATAGAATCAGAAATTTCAATTTTTTGAAATGGACCAAGAAAACGATAAGACTCATCATCAATCAGCTACACATACATTGAAAGCAATTAGCAGTTTGAAATCCTTACATATTTCCAAAACATTTGCAACAGACATTGTTCAATCGAAAATTGCGGAAAGTGTGACTACTATTAGTGATAAGGAAAATACCTATAAAGATTGCTCAACAAATATCATAAATAAAAATGAGTGTAAAGAGACTGCAAAGAAGTTTACAGAATTGATGCCACCGCCTAAATTACCAGTAGCATGTAAATCGGTAGACTCTATTCAGCAAATGTCTAATAGTGAAAATAATGTGAAAGTAAGAGATAACAAAAGTGAAATGATCCAAAAAGATTCAGATACAGAAATGAGTGGTTCAAGTAAGGAAAGTGAAAGTAAAAAAAAATGGGTACTGACAGATTTTGACATTGGCCGGCCTCTAGGTAAAGGAAAATTTGGTAATGTATACTTGGCCAGAGAAAAAAGATCAAAATTTATAATAGCCATGAAAGTACTTTATAGATCACAAATAGAAGACGCACAAATTTTACATCAAGTACGAAGAGAAATAGAAATTCAAACCCATTTGAGGTATCAATTTCTGTATTCTGTTTAGTTTTCATTAGTTGTACATAATAAAAATTATATATAAGATACCTAAGTTGAATAAGGTTCACATAATTTCTTTTATTTTTTTTTTAATTCTATTTATGGGGATATTGAAATAAACTAAGTGAGAATCAAATCTTCATTTCATTCACTCCCAAAAATAAAATATTGTTTATATATTGTTTATGTAGAATTTTTTTTGTAAATAAACAAAAAAAAAAGTTAAATTCTGATATTGGGCCTTATTACATGCACATAAATATTGGGTCATCTAAAAAGTATCCGCGGTTTTTTGTCATTAGATGTGTGTTAATGGTCATATATCTAGTGACAAAATACCGGATACTTTTTAGATGACCCAATATAATAAGACACAAATCAAAAGTAAAATTAAAAATAATAAAGAAAGTAAACATTATCTTCCTAAATCACTTTTAAAATGATTATTAATCATAGAAAGGAAATTCCTTAGGACTTACTCTATTCTCAAACGTTACAATTATCTTTAATTTTGTTTGTAATTAACTCTTTAATCTTTGAAAATTCCTAATTTGAATGCAATTTTGGCTTCTTAAAAGATAACATTAAAAATCGTTATTCTCTGACGTAAACTCCACACATAACAAACAAATAATTATAGCTATAATAATAATCACATAAATAGGCCTTATTTAATAAGTACGTTGTTTTAAAAAAATACTTATACTCATTTCAAAAAATTGATTTATTTATTATTATAGCTAGAAAGTTGAATAATATTATAATAAATTATGAAACATTGTGTACTGGTAAATTTTGCAACAAATTGTTATCAAAATGGCTCATACACACAAGTTTTTGTTGTGTTAAAGAAACATATTGTTACCGATTCCAATTCTTTTTTATTTACTTCCTACACACAAATTTTTTAAGCATATACTTCAGATGTAAAGCGAATTTTTAAGTAATAAATTTAAAAGTGGACCTTATTTAGTACTGGGCCTTATTCAACTACTTTATTTTGACAAAATCAAAGAATTATATTTAATATAAATGTTTTTTTATAGACATCCAAATATTTTGAGAATGTATGGATATTTCTATGACCCCAAGCGAATTTATTTAATATTGGAATATGCACCAAAAGGGGAACTTTATAAAGAACTGCATAATCAACCTAATAAACGTTTTGATGAAGTAAGGTAATAAAAGAGAAATTATGTTTTGTAGATATAATTGTAGATATATTACCCAATACTTTTTATACAAATAATATTTGTAATACTTTTTCTTATTTAATTAAAATAAACACCCTTGTATCAGGTCATCCTCAGTATATGTTGTTAACAATTCAAATTATTAATTTTAAATTATTAATTACATCTATTACAAAGCGTCAAAAAATGAAATATATGTCGATTACAAATAAAACATAGACATCAAAGTTGGATAATGCTAAGTTAAAAAATTAAAAGTCAAGTAATGCTGAGTTAAAAACTTAAAAACTTAATTAATTTTAATTTTCATTTAATTAAATTCATTTAATTTTACTTTTAACTTTTTTAACTTTATATAGTTATATTTTATCATAACTATTAACTTTTAATTTAATTTTTTAAAAGTTAATATCAGAGTTGGGTAGTTGAAGTTATATGGATCCTATATTCGGATTATATGCTTATACATTCGTGTCCCGTCAGAGACATATTTTTCTAATTTTAAATAATTTCAAATATTTTATTTACATCAAAAATTCAAACTTCTTTTTTGTTTTCAAACAATCCGTTAACTTTTATTTAATTTAGTTAAAAAAAAAAATTAACTTACCCAACTCTGATAGCATAACATTCATCACACTCGGAATCTTTTCTCGTTTTGTTGATAGAGCTAGCTCTCATACTTTTTATTAGATTTTAGTCTCAAAGCCTTTGTTTTTCAATAATTGTACATATATTCTTAAGCATATTGTAATTTCTTTGTAGAACAGCCACTTATGTAGCCCAATTAGCAGATGCGTTAAAATATTGTCACAGCAAGAGCGTTATTCATCGTGATATTAAACCTGAGAATTTACTTCTTGGAATTAATGGAGAATTAAAAATAGCTGACTTCGGATGGTCGGTGCATGCTCCTTCATCTCGAAGGGATACTCTATGTGGAACTTTAGATTACTTGCCACCTGAAATGGTTTCCGGAAAAACACATAATCATACAGTCGACTTTTGGAGTGTTGGAGTATTATGTTACGAGTGTTTAGTTGGAAAGCCTCCTTTCTATGCAACAACCAATGATGAAACCTATGTAAACATAAAAAGATTACGGTATAATTTTCCGAATTTCGTTAGTGAAGATGCAAAAGATTTAATTTCGAAGGTATGATTCTCAAATTTGTTCTTAGTGCAATACGTTTTCATTCTAAAATTAATTTTTAATCACATTTTAGTTGATAGTTATTGAACCTGAAAAGAGATTGGATATGGACGGCGTTCTTGCGCATACTTGGATTGTGAACAATCGAAAAGTGGATACAGCACAAGATTTTTTAAATCATAAATAATGTAATTATAAAAACTTTCTTGAATGTATTGCAATTGTGCATATATGTTCACAATATAAAACGAATTTATTGTAATTTTGAACTCAATAATATCACCAGAGAAATGATAATGCATATTACTATTGATGTTTATGAACTTATTATATATGTGTGAGAGAGATTATATATAAATGCTTTATACATAGATGGTTTAGAGACATGTACTAATACATAACGTTTTAAATCTTAGGGACATGTACTAATAAATAACGTTTTAAATCTTAGTCTTTCTTAAATAAGTAGCGATTTATTTACAAGATGTATCGCGTAATGTTGCGTAAAATTGTTTTTTATATTTTTGTGCTACTAATAGAAAAATTACATCTGATTTAGAATTGCTAATTGAAGCATTTGGACATTGGTCTGGATTTTTCAGATATATATCGGTATTATATTGTGTCTTATATCATTTATGCAAATACTTGAGATCTACTGATTAATTCGACCGTAATAAACATTTTAAATTTCTAGTATTTATTGTGTTTCTCATATGTGGCATAAAATAAAGATTCTTAATATTGTTTATATTAAGTTGCCTGAAAAAGATGTTTCCTTATTATATCGATTTTTGCGAAGAATATAATTAAGGTCTTGGTGGTCTAATGACTTAGGACTCGTACAGAATACAAGAGATCCGGGTTCAAGTCTCGACTGAAGTAATATTTTTCGCAATAAATTTATTAACAGTTTTAACATATTAACATCTTTATAATATGATACTTGATAGTAGCATCAAATTATTAAAATTGCTTGTCAATTTAATTCACGATTACTAGAGTAGTTTTAATTGCGTTTATAATCCGGAAGAATAATTCGGCACGCAATACGAAAAGACTACACTATTATATATGCAAGAAACATATATAATATATATTAGTAATTTAAGATTGAATTATTTAAAGCAATGAAGATCCAGCTTTGATCGTAGGCATTTTAAATTTCTAGTATTGATTTCTCACATATGCGGTCTAAAATAAAGATTCTTAATATTGTTTTTACTGATTAATATTAGTTGCGAACGGCCTATTAAAAGTTCGTTTATTCTGTTAGCGAAAATATTCTCGGTGCTATTGCCTTTCGAGAGATGGCATAAAATTTAATGTTGACCAGATTTGAACTTCGACTTTTCACAATCACCATATTAAATATTTTAAATAAAACAATGAGCAAATTCAAGATTAATTCTATTTTAAAACACATTTATTTGTACATATAATTAATCTACACATACTATTAAAAAAGAAAATCAATGTTAATTGTTGTAAAACAAACTTTTATAAACTGATAGAAATCTTATCTTTTTTAATGCTATACTAAAGTATTTATATCTATAGGGAAAAATAATGTGGAATATTATAACTGACTATATTACTAAATATCTTGAAACACAATAATAAACCAGTTATTAATATAGCCAATGTTAAAACTGTATTTTTATGAAACATAAATGCACAGAAATTAAACTACACCATTAAAGAAGCGCCTTTCATCTTCTGTGTAAAAAGTTTTAACTTTTGGTACTGGAAGAATTCTTTAGCGATTCTTATAGGCTTTTTTAATAATTGTACTTTTAAGTTTCCATTGGCTCCATAACGACGTCAACAATTGGTGCATCCATTGGTGTAACTTCTACTGGCGTATCCATGGGTGTAACTTCAGAGTTTTTTCTTACCGAATATAATTTGCTTAACTTTTCATAATGCTTAATATCCTGCAGAATTTGTTATTTTTATTATGCTGTTCAATATGAATTTGCAAATAAATGAATACTTGCCTTCTCACGAACGGACGGTTGCATTTTATCAAATGCTTGAAAAATATGTCGCATCGAAATTTCCGGTTGTCCATAACCAGCTATTATTTCTTTCAATGCTTCCATACCAGCTTCTCTTATCAAAGCTGCTAAATCTGCACCAGTGTAACCATTACACCTATTATCATATGCCACTTGATTTAAATCGACGTCTGAAGCAAGTTTTGGTCTCGTTGCATTCTACAAAAGTTATAATATTAATATATATTAAGTTATTAGAACAAAATAGAATTTTTTCAAAATAAATTAAATCAATTCTCTTTTTTCTCTCTGTACTGTGTTGTGTTTTGTGTGTGTATGTGCATGCGTGTAAATACCTTTGTTACTGCACGTAAAATATCCACTCTATCTGAAGCATTCGGAAGACCAACGTATAAAATTTTATCCAGTCTTCCTGGCCTCAAAACAGCTGTATCTATAATATCGGGTCGATTACTAGCCGCCATAAGAAATACCCCTTGCCGACTCTCCACACCATCCATTTCTGTAAGCATTTGATTAACAACACGTGCTGTTGCGGAATTATCACCTTCTGTTCTTTTAGGACACAACGCATCTATCTCGTCGAAAAATATGACGCATGGCATTGAATTTCTTGCTCTCAAGAAACATTGACGAACTGCTTTCTCACTTTCACCAACATACTAAAAATATACAAAAATCTTTAGGTTTCTTATATTTTCATGTATAATACTATGTTGAAACTTGCCATATTTAAAAGTTCTGGTCCTTTAACAGAAATAAAGTTAATTCCAGCTTCGTTGGCGACAGCTTTGGCTAGTAATGTTTTTCCACATCCTGGTGGACCACATAACAATACTCCACTTGCAGCTGTTAAACCTAATGTATTAAAGTGTTCAGAATGTTTAACAGGAGCCTGCAATAAATAAATTTATATACATGAGTCGCAAATGCCGTAAAATATAGTAAAATAACTAATCTAATAGCAGAAATTATGAGTGACTCCGTATGAAAGCGATCGACTTGTTAATAGATTCCTAGTTAGATCCCGACCCTTATTCATGTATACTTCGATTTTATAGAAAATTTATTTGTTTAAGACTAACAAATAGCACAATAACTACTCTTTCTAAAAATTGGAAAATATTACAGGGATAAAAACATATTTATACTCACGAGAATAGCCATTTGCAATTCTTGTCGTATATTTCGCAGTGAGCCGACATCGTCCCATGTTACGTCGGGAACCGTCGCAAATCCTTCTCTTTTCGCTGATGGTTGAACAATGCGTAGAGCTGTCTCAAAATCACTATGCTCGATGCACAAGGTCGATAAGCGTTCTTGGGAAAGTGGAGGTTCGGAACGTAACCAGGTCAATAAAGTTGACAAGTCTGCTGAATGTTCCTGAATTACATCCATTTCGGCAATTTCTGAAATTGAACTTTTGGGTAGCTTTTGTGGAAATGTAAGATTGTTCTCAATTGTAGTAGAAGTTGTAGTGGTAGGAGATCTTGCTGCAACACTAGTATCAATTAGATTTTCCGAATTTTCGGAAATTTCAATTTCTTTATCCGGTTGTTTCTCGGCTTCAGTTACTTCAGGTAACCTTTCCTCTTGTTTCGATCTATTTAAATCCTCAAATACTCTAAAAAAATTGTATATATATATATATATATATATATACACACACACACACACACACACACACACACACACGCGCGCGCACATATATAGATATGTATAAAAACTTTAAGCAAAATGACTTACCTATCTACAGCAACCATAGCAGCTTCCCTAATTAAAGCAACTAAATCTGCACCTACAAAACCTGGAGTAAGGGAAGCTATTGTTGATAAACTAACATTAGGAGCTAATACAACTTTTTCAGTGTGCACTGCTAAGATTTTAGCCCGTGCTTCTCTATCTGGTATTCCAAGGCACACTTCACGATCAAAACGTCCCGCTCTTCTTAAAGCAGGATCTAATGAATCGGGCCGATTTGTTGCACCAATTACCAGTACTCTGTCTCCGTTTTCATTAAGATTCAATTCTAACAAGAAAACAGAAAGAAAAAATGTAGCTCATAGTCTAGAATAATGTAAAAAAGAATAATGTAAAATAAAATAATAATGGAAACATTAATATCTTACCATCTAAACTTGACAATAATTGCGCAACAATTCTTCTTTCCATTTCTCTTTGAGCTGTAGCTCTATGTGGAGTGACAGCATCTATCTCATCCAAAAAAATGATACATGGTGCAAGAATTAAAGCTTGTTCAAACAATTCCCTGATACGAGCTTCGCTCTCACCGGATACTCCAGTCACAAGCTCAGGCCCTGCTACTTTTATTAGAGGTATATTTAATTCCTATATAAGAGATGCGAATATTAGAGAGAATGAATGAATCATAACTTTTATGCATTTCACAATCGTATATGGAACAAAACAATGACTTGTAAATATATAAGTTGTAGCATATTTTCTAAAATTAAATATTATCTTACTCCTGCAACTGCATGTGCTAATAATGTTTTTCCACATCCAGGTGGTCCATGAAGCAAAAATCCTCTTGGTGGAGATATACCGAGCTGTTTGAAGATTTCAGGATGTTTCATATGAGCTAGTAATTTACAGACAGATTTCAAAACTTTGTCACTGCCTCCTACATCAGCGAATGTAATTTTTGATTCTGTAATAGGTATAATTCTCGCTTTTTTGACTGAAAATTTTCCATTGCCACTTTCCTTCTCTCTTTGTCGTTTTCTTGTAGATTCCAATGATTGTTTTACAACTTGGTTCGCAAGCTGAAATGACAAACAGATAACAAATGTATTTTTCAATCTGAATTTCGTTCAAATTTAACATAAAATCATAATTATGAATTGCATGGAAATGCATACTATGTTTGGTTTCACAGGTGTTTCCAGTTTTGTAGTAGACATTTCTGGCTTTGCTGTTTCTTGCTTTAGGGTCGTCGTTTCTGATTCAGCAGTTTCCAGTCTTGTAGTTTCTGATTTTGCCGCAACTATCATACCCGTAGATTCTTCAGTTGTCGTACATCCAGGTTCAGGAGTTTTTAGATCTTTTTCAGTCTTGGAGTCGACTTTAGATGCATCATCGTCGCTACTAATGTCTATCAATTCTTTATCACTCGAGTTTCCATTCTGTCTATATTGTGGTTTCTTATACATATGTAATAACATATCACTTATCGAAGCACGCTGTGAATCTGACTAAAATGATGTGACTTGATTAAACAATTATTGTATCAAAGAAGGAAATAATCAAGACATGTAATAATACGATTAATAGGTCGAAGGTACCTCAACATCGACATCCTCAAAATCATCATCGTCATACGCCGAGCATTCACGCGTCGAAGGCTTGTTTGAAAAAATCTTGGTAAGCTCATCATAAGCCTGACGTACCATACTACGGAACGGACCGCGTTTCTTACCACGATAATCTCTGTATCGCCTTTGCAACGCATCTGCCATATCATTTACATCGATATATACTTTATTTTCATTATCGTGCATGTACTGCGAAACATATAAATGTAACATGAAAAATGAAGTTCGCTGAACGATTGTGTCGTAAATATCATGCTTGTGCATGATATTAACTTTAATTCTTGCGTATACCGCTTGTACGCGCATCGTGGATCCTACAGATCCCGCAAATTAAATACATCAAAGAGAAAAACAATCGAAAGAAATAGCCTAAACTGACCGATGTAAATCATCGTTTTTTACATTACCATTTGTACGCGACCGATTAACAACTGATCCCGGAGTCTTTGATCCATCCTGTGCTTATTGTCCACGTGTCTCGATCTATAATCTCCACTCGATCCTTGCAATGGAATAATATCGATCGACGAGTTTAGCTTGCCCATTTTATGCATATTTACAGACAAGGATGATCAGCAGGCGAGAATACGACTGAGCGAGCCGTGAGAGGAAAAATACCTCACGGCTCGACACTCGACACTCGACCGTCGCGGCGTCGCGTCGACGTGAGTTTGGCGTCGTGAATTGATTCAACCTTTTCAATACGCACGTCAACAACGCATGAAAACTCGCGTCGATGTACATCAATCTCCTTGGTCAATATATGTATATGTATATATGTATATATATATATATATACACACACACACCATACGTATACAAATGTATACATCTGTATGTAAGAAATAGTAAGAAATGATACAAGGGGTGGAATCATGATGAAAGATGGAAGGGATAACATTATGGTGTGTCGGTGTGTGCGGTTGGACAGTGGCTTAGTTTCTATCGAAGGTTTAAACAGAATCAGAATGTAAGAACCAACCAATTACAGTCGAACATTTCCCTGTCATTCGACTGTAACAGGGGAATACTCGACTGTAGTTGGTTGATTCTTACATTCTGATTCGGATTAAATCCTCGGTGAAAACTAGGCCAGTGTCTTTTTTCAAATTTCTGCCCTCTCCGTCTATGGACTATTCCATATATCAGCGTATGAGGCTTCGCACAATAAAAGGAACAGGGGACAGGGAATAAGAATTTCAACCTATCAGAAATCATGTATTGTGGAATACACACTTTCTGATAGGTTGAAATTCTTATACTCGTATTCGTAGGCTCTGGTCAAAGCCTCACTAAAAATGCTTTGAAGCATTTGATGGACCAATTAGAAGAAAGAATTTTACAAATTGATCAATTAAAAAACGCTTCAAAGCATTTGCAGCATCTCGTTGACCGTACCCATAGTACGGGTTTTATATTTAAGGCTTCCTTAAATTTATCTTTAGATGCTCAGTCAATGAAATAATTTATAGAGTATCTAAAGATAAATTTAAGGAAGCCTTAAGTACAAGGTCTGCCTGATGAATACGGGCATTATTCTCTGTTCTCTGGCCTAGTTTCCACCGAGGGTTTAATCCGGATCAGAATGTAAGAACTAACCAATTACAGTCGAGTATTTTCCTATTACAATCGAATGACATAGGCCTCTGTTTTGATTCTATTCTTCAAACAAATTAACAAAATTAAAAAAGTGAGCAAATTTATTAGGTTGACCAATGAAATTATCCATAATCTAAAATAAATTCGTTCGTAAATTCGTTCACTTTTGTAATTTTCACTTCGTTTCAAGATACAGAATCAATTTCCTGTTTCTTTTATTGTGCCGAGCCTCTAAGGGGTCTACAGTTATCATCCCTATTCGTCTTAGTTCCATGAACCGTCATCTTGAGGCGCTGTTAAGCCACTTATCGATACATACATGGTATAAAGACAAGTGTATGCTCATCCAGCTCATCCGGTGCGCAGAAATCAGAGTAGTGGGGGAACGGACCACTTACGTCATCATCGGCTATTTTCGAAGCAATTCGGGTGAGTTCGGGTAGATTCGGTTTCGCAAAACGGCGCTAACAATGAATTGTGGTTATAAAATTGCTTTTTTAATAAGATTTTTGTAAAAAATTATTTGTTTTCTCATAAAAGATGAAGTGTGCAGTGAAAGGTTGTTGTAATTATTCAAAAAGAGTAAAAATGCCTGAAAAAAGAATACAGTACTTTTGATTTCCTAAAGATCAAGCAATTTCTTTAAAATAGCTTGCAGTTTGTAAAGAAGGTACTTCCATTGCAACAGGTAAAAGAAAATAAATATAAAATTTATCATATATGTTCTTTTGATCTTAAAAATATTAATTTAAAGGATTGATACGTTAAAAATCAGTTGATTAACATGTTTTAAAATATTTAATTATATATCATCATTGTATATTCTGTTGGACAAGAAAATAATATATGGTATACTTTGTGTTCTTAGGAAGAAATATGTTCAAAACATTTTGAACCATCATCCTTTACAAAGTCCTTACAGCAGAAACTGTTGCAGTACTCACCTAAAAGTTACCGAAAAGTACAAAGTGATGCAATTCCTACATTGCATTTATTTCCTGAGTTACAAGACACATCCAGTACTTCATTTTACGTAAGAAAATAAATATATATAAATAGTATAATTAAATACTAATACTAATATTAAAAATGAATTTATTCATCTAGGAAAGATTCATCGTCATATATCGAAAATACTACTGACACATCCGCTGCTGCAGTTGCTACATCTAGTACTTTATTTGATTCTACGTACGAAAATAAATAACATAATTACGATTTATTATCCGATTTATTAACAGCTACGCGTATTATGAATGTTGAATTTGAAAATTATCATGGTCCAAACTTGCGTAAAATTGAATTTATATTTAACGAACTGATAGACATTGTCTGTAAAAAAATTCTGCCAATTAAACTACCACATAAAATAATTTTATGTCTCGTTAGGACTTATATAAGAGTTCGGGAAATAAACCGACAAATTTATGAATCTAACAAAAAAATAAGAAAAAAAATTGATTAAGTTTATCAGTAATAAAGTAATTAATAAAAAATATTAGACTATGTATCCGTTGTTTTCTTTTTCTGAATTATATTTATTTATTTATTCAAAATGTTTTACTTAATTACGATTATGTAATTATATTCCAAAATTTCTAAATAAATTATTCATGTTTGAATTCAGCAAATGAATTCATGTATTCAATATAATATTATCATATATATATTGAGTCATCTAAAAAGTATCCGCGGTACTTTGTCACTAAATATATGACCATCAACACACATCTAGTGACAAAAAACCGCGGATACTTTTTACATAATTTAATGATTAATTTATCATTGTATTTTTCATTATTATAGTACTTATTATAATTAATTATCAACTATATTTTAATTATTAATTAAATTAATAAATAAATTTATTTATTAAAATACGCTTATAATAACAGAAAAATATTACATAATTTGAAATATTATAAAAATATGTTTATATATTTAAATGATTATATCTCATTAAACGATGTTTCATATTACGTTTTATATTAATTCATTCAAATTTACCGCTAATCGATGACGTCCGATATCACATGATGGTCACGTGATACCTATATACGCATAAGCATATCCTTGACTTTATACCATGGGTACATATGTATATACATATGCACTGATATTCTAGTGCTGCTTCTTAGAACATATATAAATGGAAGGGGAATAGAGCGTTAAGCTTGATGCAAACATCTGTGCGAAAGAGAAAGTTAGTAACGGATAAATTTAGTAAAGCGCATGCGTCTGTTCCTTGTTCCTGCTGTCCATCATCGCTGTCATTTTGTGATAGCGATGTCATTTTATAAGTTATGTTCTTATACGATTTGTGTAAATTAGCACAAAAAAGAATTTAGGTTTATATAATTATTTATTTTAGAATTTCTTTTCTTTTTTACACCTTCTTATTACAAGTGAAAGAGATAAACTTCACAATTGCTGCTTCTCGACCCCACACACGCGGTACTTGAACAAGGAACGTCGGAACCGACGTCAGTGCATAGAGAACATTTATCCTTTACTATCTTTCTCTCTCGCACAAATATTTGCACAGCGCGAACTATGAGCAAGTATGAGCAATGCCCTTTCCATTTATGTATGTTCTAAACTTGGAGGCTTATTACGATTTTTTAGACGAAATAAAAATTACAAAAATGAGCAAACTCACTAAGTATTAATTAATGAAGTTATAAATATTCTAGTAAATTTGATCACCTTCGTAATTTCATCTGGTGCAGAATTAAGTTTGAAACTAATAATGTATATTACAACTAATGATAGTAAATATAAATATTTTCATTATCAAAAGTATTTTTATCATATATAATTATATACTTCTTTGTTTGAGTATTCATTTCCGATTCACATAATTTTTAACTTTTGGCCTTTCTTCTTTTATTACACATAACATATCTTCTATTTCATCATCGCTACTACTTGTTTCTAATAATTCATTTGTAATAAATAATTTTAGTCTTTCTTCATCCACTATTTTGTAATTTTTTGCTGTCTAACATAGTTTTATTTGTTCGAACACCAAACTGACAAAAATGTCAGTGCAACATTTCTTGAACTCGTTCGATTCATTCAGTTAGTCCGAATACAAATTCAGCACTGAGTCAGTTTTCATTTGCCGAATACGACAAATGAACGCAACTTAAACGCACTGATACGCACAACCCAAATTCGTGGCACCGAAAAAGCATTTAGTGCGCACTAATGCAGTCTATCCAATGTGCCTTTAGATTAATGTCTCTAGAATACAGAGAATCTGGCGATCTCGTAGTCCTCTTTTTTTAGCTACATTCGGTATTGCAAATCTGAGGCGTCGGAGTGCTTTTATATTATAGCATATGTCACATGCACTGTAGAAAAAGAAGCACTCCGACGCCTCAGATTTGCATTGCCGAACGCAGCTTATATTGCATCAGAAGTCAGAACTCCCTTAAAAATGGCGGAATCAATCACCACACAAGTCTTTCACAATTTTTGGGAAGTTAACGCATTGTATTACCTGTCTTTCATCAATTGGAACATTTTATTATGTAACTATATATGACATTATGTATCCTGTAAATACAAAGAATTATTATCATAGTACTTTTATACTATTATTATACTAATATTATTTATACTACTATTCTATATTTTCTATATTTATAACACATTAATTTTTTGTTAGAACGTGAATACATTTTATGCGTGAATATATTTTATTTTTCTCACCGTATAATTTCAGTATTTTGTATTTATTATAATACTATAATATTTTATTTGATTTACTTATGTTCTTTATAATCTCTGGTGCCGGACTTAGGGCCACTTTCACCAAGCTCTAATTAACTTAATATCGGAGAAAAAATGCAAAGAGAAAAGTTATAAATATAGATTTGTAATACTAATTTATAGTAGCAAGGTTTCTTTCTGGTAGCTATTTGTTAATAACCTATTTTTGTGTTCAATATAGTATGTAAAATTACAGTTAATTATAATTAGTGAAATACAGTTTTACTCTTCAGTTCACATTTTTTCTCCAACATCAGCTTCAGTTGGAATCCTACAAAGTTGAAGTTCAGTTGGAGTTCTGATTATTTATATCATTGACGTGTATCGACAGTGGTTTGATGGAGACGCTCAATCATGGTTGCATCCAACTAGTTAATTGGTTGCATTTTCTCAAATAAGTGAAGATTGATCTCCTCTCATATTGCGAATACTGTGGATATTAAAAATAAGGAAAATCATGTGAGAACCGTAGTTTAATTTTATACAAATATATTCTCAACGCCACATGGAATTATCTGTACGTATTGAGGATGGCTAAAAAGTTAGCTGAGAAACACGTATATTACAAATCAATAATTAAATTATGATATATAATTAGGACATATAATTCAATAATGTTGAAATTGACTGCGCATTATTACAGCTAATTCCCTCTCTATTTGCCGAATTTATTATAATAAAAAAATTATATTGAATAGTACATAACCTTACGGATAAAAAAAGTACCCCGATGAAAATGTAAAATTTGTCGAAGCGTCAAAGAAATGTGAACAAAGAATTTTAATGCTTCTTAAACACTTCATTGACTTTCCATTGACTCTTAGTGGTTTTGAATATTTATATACGCTCCACAAACTCTCCTAAATTCCATAAAGTGTGTGAAATACATCTATCACATTTCCTACACGTTTAAAATTTTTTTTTTATTTTTTCTCATACGCTCTTCAACACTCCGCAAAAAATGCATGGAGCGTACTGATACACTTCCTAAACACTTCATTCATTAGTACTTCGTCTATGCTTCCTAAACATTCGGCAAAAGGTACACGGAGTATTCAAATACGCTTCTCTGTACGAGCATTCATGTACGTTTCCAGGATAGAGAGATAAAAAAATTTATTTTAAGACGAAGCGTCATTGAGCTGTACAGCGAATGTAAACGAAGCGTCGTTGAGTAGTACGCGCCAGCAGAGGGACTTAGCGAGAACTAACTTCTCGAATTTAAAAAACTGCACAGACTAGGATAAAAGACGTAACATTGAAAGATTTTTCAGTTGTGTTCTAATGTAAATTCTAAAAAATAATTTTTTGAGTTAAATGTTGAGTTAATAATTTAAGTGAGCGCGCCCCTAGGGCTCCAATAGAGATCCTCTAATCAGAATCGCGACACGAGAAAAGGAGACTCTAGTTAGAGACTCTCTTTACGGTTTCTTTATATTAAGAGTCTCTAGTTTCAGCAAAATTACAAGAAAGAAAGAGGAATATGTTGTGTCTCTTTCTAACCTTCATAGTTCTCGTGTGAGTCGTGATTTCATAAGATACGTCTTTCTATAATATGACTTTTAGAACATTATTAAAAATTATTGCAAAATGGTTGGATGTGCAGCTCCATTTTACAATAATTCTGTAGCAAAGACTACATAATGAAATATTTTGATGTTGAACGTCGAACATTATGGGCGACAAATGTTGAAAAAATTGAACACCAACGAAAAATGCATATCTCTGCAAGGTTAAATAACATATTTGTACAGTTTATAAGAAAATTAATAAAATATGTGACAACTCTGTATCTTTTTAAAATTCTATTTATTTTCTATATATCAATTATGATTATTTAATAAGTTAATCTTTTTTCTTATTATATTATACAGATACATTTTGTTCCAACTATGTGGGAACAAAGAACTGATATGCGAAAATTAAAACCAAATGCAGTTCCCACAATATTTGGTTATTTTTTAAAAAAAGAACCAAAAGAAATCGAAAATAATGTTACACAAGTTTCTATAACAAAATAATAAAGTAAACAATATATCTAATAATTTTTGTCAATCTATCAATGACATTCAATTGTATGAGCTTGATGATGATGTTAAAGAGCAGGATTGTCAGGCTAATGCTGAAGCAACAATACTTATGAGAAGATAACATATTGAAATATATTTAAAATTTTTAATTCAATTTTTAGGTGATTGATGCATCCGAAAGCAATGAATTATCAATAATGTGTCCAGTTTCATATAGAACTCAGTGTAAAAGAAAACAAGAGAAGCAATATAAGAAATTCAATGATATTATCCGAAAACAACAGCTAAATGTTATTAAAATGCTGGAAACAATAAAAGCTTTAAGATTCATTGTACATATTTTAAAAAATAATGATAATATTTTAAAAAAAGATAGTAATACTTTAAAAAAAGATATTAA